ATAAAAGACTCCAATCGACCCTATGATATACCTTCTCCATATCCAACTTAACAACCGCCCCTGCACGACCACTTAGAACTTGTGAATGGATACATTCCTATGCCACCATAACGCTATAAAAAATCAACCTATCATTGATGAAAGCTGATTGAGGACCTGAGATAATAAACAGTAGAACCGTCTTTAATCGTTCTACATGGACTTTAGCCAAAATTTTATATAGACTTACCAAAAGGCTAATGGGTCGAATGTCTCCCAGATCAACAATCACTGACTTCTTCAGAATCAAAGCAATGAAAGTGGAATTCACCCTTCTTAAATTATCACCCCTTCTAAGGAACCCCCTAGTCATTTCCAATAACTCCCCACTAACCAAATTCCAAAACTATGGACAAAGATTAAGGAGAAGCCATCTGGGTCAGGTGCCTTATCACTCAGAAGAGCAAATACCACTTTTTTTAGTTCTTCCATAGACACATCGCTGTCCAAAAGATGCAGCATAGTAGTCGGTAAGACCTTAAACCCCACCCTACTCAATCGGGAAAAACATTTGACCTTTGAGGAGAACGCTCTTTGGTAGTGACTGATAATAGCATCAGACATCGCAACACTATCATCAGGGTCCACTCCTTGAATCAACAGTCTAGAAACATCATTCCGGCATCTCCACGCATTTGCTATGGCATGAAAATATTTGGTATTTTGATCACCTTCTTTAAGCCATTTCATTTGAGATCTTTATTTCCAATAAATCTCTTCCATCATTCTTAGCTCTAATAATTCATTTGTTTTAGAGCATCTCTCAACAACCAACTCCTCAGACAAAACCCCTGACCATTGCATTACAAGATCAATCTCCTCTATACTCCTTAAGACTTCTTCAACTTTCCTCTTGACTGAAAAGCACTTTTCTTGTTTCTAGGCAATAAGCTTATGCTTAACATTGAGAAGCTCCTTGTGGAGTTGGAAATCTAAGGAGCCAAAGGAGATAGAATTCTCCCAAGTGCTTTTAATTAAGTCAATAACTTCTTTCTGATGTAACCATCCAATTTCAAGCCTAAAAGGTTTGGGGCCTCCCGAACCAATTTTAGAGCAAAGCAAAAGAGGGGTATGATAAGAGGAGAGCCTAGGGAGAACTTTAATTGATGCAAGGGGAAAACTTTCTGACCACTTACCAGACACCAAAAACCTGTCAATTTTGAACATTGACAAATTGGACAAACTTCCATTATTCCACTTAAATACTGTATCTGAAATAGGCAGATCTATAAGGGCATGGGATTCTATAAATCTATTTAAAAGACACAGGGCAGAAGTTATCGTTCCACCATGGCTATTTTCTTCCGGCCAACTGGTAAAATATGAAGTCCCCTTCCTAAACAAATCGGATAATCAAAATTAAGAATAACATCAAACATATCAAGAATAAAACCTTCTTTCTGAGCAATAGTATGGGGTCCATAGAGATTCATCAAACCCCACTAAAAATCACCCTCTAGTCTCACAAAACTGCCAACACGAAGTTCTCTTTTTTAACAACACAAAAGGAAAGCAAAACAAATGGATCCCACAACATCCATAGATCCCCAGAAGTCCCTACCGAGTCAATGCCAACAAAATCAACCGCCCTAGGACCGCACACTTCCATAACCCCAGAAAGACTAGGTCATGGAAGTTTGGTTTCGTGCAAAATAAGTAGGCTTATACTTGCTAAGAAAAAGTAGGACTTCTTTCTTTCGTCTGAGGTCACTAAACCTCTTACATTCCAAGTAAGGATAAACATTAAAGAGGTTTAGAGAAAGAAAGACCTGATTTGTCCCTACTAGTCCCGAAGTAAGTTTCTTCCATAAGCATCGATTCCTCCATAGCCTCATCAAAATCCACTTCCATAGTCGACAACAAAGGAGAAGAGCTCACTTCAATCACTTGTTCGTCTCAGAAGATGACTCAAGTAGCAGCACCTAGATGAGGACCCCGTGCCAACAGCTAAATAGACGATCTCGTGCCCTTCACCAGGCTTTTTCCTTTCTTTTTCTTTGTACCAATGTTTTTAAAATTGGTCTGCCTGGAGCCTAGGTGCTCGCCTAGGCAACCAAAACAAAAAATTTGCCTGCTTAGACCCAGGTGACCATACACGAGCGGATGTACCTGAGTGGGCGCCCATGGAGACTAGGCGTTTTTAGTTTTTTTAAAACTACTGTGCGCTTGAGGTTCTGGGTGCTCGCCTAGGCACTAGGCGTCAGTCAGGCTGCCTAGGGGCCACCTAACATTTTAGGGAAATTTGGTTTCTTGCAAAATAAGAACTGTAGGCTTATACTTGCAAACCAAAAATAGAACGTCATTCTTTCGTCTGAGGTTGCCCAAAGCTCTTACATTCCAAGTAAGGATAAACATTAAAAAGGTTTAGAGAAAGAAGAACCTGATTCGTCCCTACTACTCTCAAAGTAAGCTTCTTCCATACGCATCACTTCCTCCATAGCCTCATCAAAATCCGCTTCCATAGGCGACGACGAAGGAGCAGAGCTCACTTCAATCACCTATTCGTCTCGGATGATGGCTCCAGTAGCAGCACCTGGAAGAGGACCCCATGCCAACAGCCAAGTAGACGATCTTGTGCCCTTCACCAGGCTTTTTCCTTTCTTTTTCTTCCTACCAATGTTTTAAAAAACGGTTTGCCTAGAGCCTAGGCGATCGAGATAAAAAATCTACCTGCCTAGACACAGGCCGCCCTAAGCGGGCGGATGTACCTGGGCTGGCTAAGTGGGCGCCCAGGTGGGCTAGGCGGGCACCCAAGGCGGATGTACCTGGGTGGGCACTCAGGTCGGCTAGGCGTTTCTCATTTTTTTAAAACTATGGGGCGCCCGCCAACGCGCTGGGCGCCAGGCAGCGTGCCTAGGGGACCCCTAGCGTTTTAGGGAAGTTTGGTTTCTTGCAAAATAAGAACGGTAGGCTTATACTTGTGTAGACACCCTGCTTTAAATTTGACAAGTTATGTGGTTTTCTT